CTTGAGCAGCTTGCTCGATGCGGCGAGTAGAGTAACTCCCTCGTTTGCTCCGTGAATTGAAGCCAGACGGTCCACCTTGCGGATCCATACTTCAATGTCCTCGTCGGCCGCGCCGCTGAAAGACGGGATTTGGATCGACAAGATTTTAATGGCCTGTGGATTGGCCAAATTTCCTAGTAAGGTAGATTCGTTGTGAGGTGTGGGTGACCTTGATGCTTGATATGCCGCTGGGACTTGAACTTGCGCGCTGCTGACTTGAACCACCAATTGCGCAAGCTGAGCCATCAACTCTTGATTCTGAATCATCTGATTGGAAAGTAGCTGGAACATTTGATCGCCTGTCAGGCCCGCTTGCTGGTCTGTTATTTGACCTGTTGGTAGGTTAATCGAGAAATGTACTGACGTGCCTTTAGCCCTTGAGGTACTGGCCGTCGTATTCGAACGTAAGGTACGCTTGGGGTACCCGTAGAAACATTTTCCCCTTGTGAAGCGCCTTGAACTTCTTGATTCGTTGCCGTAGAACGCTCGAAATAACTCATGAGAGCGTCGATGCACTTTTCGCGCGTATCCATGACCGGGAGGTTGTAATAAGTGAGCTTCTCCTCCAGTTCGATGGTCGTGAGAGCGTCGAGCTGTTTGCGATCCATCGCAGACGGCATAGAGCACGTGCCGAATGGATAGATACTAGGCACCGATAACGAGTACGAAGGGGACAAGCACGGTCACCGTTCGCGCGACGAGCCGAATGGCGACAAACACGTGACGACCGCTCGTGAGCGCGGGAAAACGAGCCGAATGGCGACGAACAAGTTGCGATCACTCGCGAACGCGGGAAACGAGCCGAATGGCGACGGCGCAATTACCGTTGAATGTACGTGATAATGTGCCTGATGGCAACGAACACGTTGCGATTACTCGCGAACGCGGGAAACGAGCCGGATGGCGACGGGCACGTCGCGATCACTCGCGACGCGGGAAACAAGCCGAATGGCGACGGACACAATCACCGTAGTACGTGGTGATGTGCCGGATGGCAACGAACACGTTGCGATCACTCGCGAACGCGGGAAACAAGCCGAATGGCGACGGCACGTTGCGATCACTCGCGAACGCGGAAAACGAGCCGAATGGCGACGGACACGTTGCGATTACTCGCAAACGCGGGAAACGAGCCGAATGGCGACGGACACGTTGCGATCACTCGCAAACGCGGGAAACGAGCCGAATGGCGACGCACAGTGGTTCGAAACACGAAATTTGCGCTCAAAAATATTTTTTATTAATAAATCAACATAATACTATTTGAAAACAGAACTGAAGTATGAAAAACCATTTTTGACACAAAAAGTACCTTAAAAAACCCAATTTTGCAACTAATTGTTATAAAAAAATTATTAAAATATTACCGGAGAAACAAATTGATTACGCCAATCGATTCTACGAGAAAAATGACTAAAGAAATATGTATAACTTTTTCTTAAATCATTATTGATTTATGTTAAAAAATAAATAATATTCGATTTGTTGAATTCTTGTTCTCACAGTTAGACCGATAAAA